CTATATTTCTCCATCAAACCTCTTAATAAATGCATGACTTCCATAGTCGACCTACTCGGCATGAATCCAAATTGATTTTGAGAAACATTATTATCACGCCGCAACCTATGCTCCATAACTCGCTTCCATAGTTTTAAAGTATGACACATTAACTTAATTCCGCTATAATTCGCACAATCTTGTGCATCACCTTTATTCTTAAAAATAAGAATTAACACACTCATTCTCCACTCATCTGGCATCCTTTTAGTCTTCAAAATAGTATTAAAAAGTTTAGTAAGCCAAGAAATTCCTTCATCTCCTAAGCATTTCCACACCTCTATTGGAATATCATCAGGTCCAACTGCATTTCCACCATTCATTTTCTTTAAAGCCTCTCTAACTTCAGTTTTACTAATACGCCGATAAAAACAGAAATTTTTATTTTCATTTAGGGTGTTAAGGTCACTATAGTCAATCTTATTTTCACAATTTTTATTAAAAAGTTTAGCAAAATATCTCATCCACCTTTGTAGAATATCATCTTCTAAGAAAAGCATTTTTAATCTTCATCTTTAATACACTTCCCTTGAACTAAATCCTTACTACTCCTATATCTTTGTTTGGCTAATTTATACATATATCTTTCTCCCTCATTAGTATCTAATATATTATACAAATCACTAAAACTCTAAAAGCTAAGGTCTTTGCATCGCATAATGCTTTCTTAGAATCCTTATGAGCCTTTTTATATCTTTCACAATTATCGGAATTTTTAAAATTAAGCCAATTTTTATAACAACTTCTTATTCTTGGTTTCATATTAAAAAGGTGTTAAATTTGGTTAACAATTAGGTTTTATTCAAAATGTTTGGTGATCAATTCACATTTCTTATGAAAATTAGAGTATTGTGAATTCTCTTAATTTTGTTCAACCATACAATTTGTTATAAAATAGTGAAATGTTCCTTTCCATTATGGGGTTGTTTGATTTATTAGAAAAGAAATGCACATTAAAAAGAATACATTGTAAAATAAATGTAATGCATTTAAAATGTTTTAGAGTTATTTTGTTGAGTGTAAAACATGTGCATTACTTTTTTTTGTTTGATTTGATATTAAATAAATTTAATGTAAAACTCTTTAGCAGTTTTGTGGCGGTGTTTGATGACGAAGGAAAACAACGGGTAGCAACGGCGGCAGAGGCTTGTGCTGTATGTTTGAAAATTGTTCAAATCAGTCGATTTTGGAATACATTAAAAATGAACTAAGATATGAGTTTCAAATTTGTCAAAATTTCACTTTTAAATTTTTTTTCGTCAAATCAAATACTTACATTTCTGAAGTCTATGCATTTGTAATACTTTGCATCCAAAACCCTTCAACCCAAAATAATCCCAAAGTCATTCCAACTAACAAAGATTGTTGTGCTTGATTAGATGTGCAAACGTGCCACTTATAATAGAACAGGACTTTGTTCTCATTTAGCTTATTAACCATCGAGCTGAATGCAAATGAGCTAAAAAAGATCTTGTTTGTGTTCAACTTATTTATTATTGAGCCATACAAGAATAACAAGTCTAGTTAATGACTATGAAACATATCAATAATATTTGACTTGTGGCTTCATTTTCATGAGTTGAAGTTTCTGAGTTTATATTATGCATCCTTTTAAGATCATAAACTAAAAATATTTGTTTTTTATGCATTTTAATAATAAAATGCAATATGAAAAAAAACTACTATCTAACAAGCTCTTGTTCATGTTTTGCTTGTGTAACAAACATGCTGAAAGATTTTATTCAAGGCCATTTCGTTTACTTAACAAATGAGTCAAACAAGGTAATTATCGAGTTATTGAACCTGCCTTCCCTTAAATAGGATTAATGAAACTTAGAAGGATCATTTGAATGGAAATCTTTGTATGGAATATAGTTATTTTAGAATGCTTTTGAATAGAAGTATGAGCATCACTTTAGGAAGTAATTTAAATACCTATCAGTCCAAAATGGTTAAGAATTATAGATGTTGCTTTGTTAAGAAGAAGCACTTCTCACTTTTCAACTCAGTAGTCAAAATTATGGTATAATGTCTTTGTATGTTCCACTTCTCTACTTTATGAATTCTCTCTTAATTCCATGATGGCTTGAGAATAAGGTTGGTAAGAATACTTGAAATTTAGAAATTGCCTGAAAAATTATTTATCTTTTTTCCAAATTGATGTAAACTTGAACATTTATTTGTATATTATTTTTATATAATATAAATAAATGATTGATTTATTGATAAATTTGTTGCAATTTTTGTAACCTATTTTAGATCCATTATAAATTGTAATAAAAGAATGATGGAACTCCAAGGTTCTCTTAGCGCACAACCTTTAAACGGGCATTGGACAATCCAGAGTTTTGAGTGAGAATGAGAACGGTAGAATATGAAGTGGAGAAGCACAAGAAGAAACGAAAGGAGAAGAATTGTACTGAAGATACTATTAGGAACTTGAATAATTCTCCAGAGGGGAATCACAAGCAAAAAAACAAAAAGAAGATCAATAAGGAGGAACACAAGTGGAAGAAGGAGATACCCTCGGTTAGTATATCAGTAGTAGGCTCCATTATTGACAACACCCAGTCGCAAGAGCTAGCCACTCTTGTAAGTCATTTTAAACCCTAAACCCTAAAAGGCATATGCATATGTGATATTTTCTACTTCTGGAAATTCCCTCTTCTTCTTCCTAATTCTTTTTTCTTTCACTCTCTTTATTAGCTAGTAGGTCAGATTGCTCGAGCTGCCACCATCTTCCAAGTTGATGAGGTCAAATTTCAATGTTTTTCCCTTTAATCAACATTTATAATGGATTTCCTTTCTAGTGTTTTGATTGTAATTCTTTTAAATTTTACTAACAAAAAATTGCTTTGATATATAGATAGTGGTAGTCGATAATAAGGCTCTTTCCAGTAATGGTGCTGAGGTGAACAATGGTGATCAAAATGAGAGTGGCGCACAGTTTCTTGTGAGAATTTTGCAGTATTTGGAGACGCCGCAATATCTCAGGCGTAGGCTTTTCCCGATGCACAATAGCTTCAAGCATGTGGTGAGTTTTTTTTTTTGTTATGTTTTTATTGTCTAGTAATTGGTCAGGAGTATCACAGCACTTAAGGGTTAATATTGTGTTTTATTTTTCTCAGGGTTTGCTTCCCCCTCTTGATGCTCCTCATCATGTGCGCAAGCATGAATGGACCCCTTTTCGAGAAGGTGATCTCTTTTTTTTTTTTAATCTTTCCATTTTACTTTCATTAAGCATATGATAGTGTTATAAAGGGGTAGATCAGAGGAATGGAGTAGGCATGGATGGAGAAAGATAGGAGAAGCATTTTTCCTGTGCCCTCCTTTTGATGGGCTGGCATTGTTTAACCCAAACCTGTAAACATGCTGTATTACAAACTTGAATTATAATATACTATACTTCCAATATAGCTATTAATAAGCACTTAAGAAACCAATGTGGATTAGTATGACAAAATAGATCCTGGGTGCATGCTTGGTATGAGCTTAGTAGACTTGTTTTCATGATTCTGTAAGAATGATGACATTTCCTAAAATACTTCACCTGATTCAAATAATGCTTAATGTGTGGTGGTTTGATACTTAAACAAGTTTCACAACAATCTATTTATCTTCAGTAAGTAGAATAACTGTAATAGGATGATTTCCATTTCTTTTTTTTTTATACATTGTTGCATATGGCCAAATCTGGTAAACTGCCTCAGTTTACCATTTATATTCTTGCGTAAAGCATTTAAAAACAACCCCGTTTGGCTGTCTTGGATTCTATAGAAGTAAATCAATATTTGAGTATTGAATGCCGGAATGTCCTTTTAGTTATTTACTTCTGAATTTTAATCCCTTGAAATTCTCCATCTTCTTGACTCTTTAGCCTTGCAAGATTAACTCTTCATGTGAATGGTACACGAGTCTATACTTGAGTTATTTTAGAAAAAAAAAAAAAAATTAATCCCTTAGCTTTTTCTGAAGGACCAAAATTATTCCCTACTATATAAAATTATCAAATTGTTCTCTTTACTCATTAAATAGGGATCAAATTATTCCCCCACGGGAACATTTAGGTCTCTATTTAAAAATTTCATGGATTAAAGCAGGACTTTTAATACTTGTGGATTATTTTGATCATTCATAAATAATCAAAGGGCCATTTTGGTCCTTCGTATATAGTCAATGGATCATTTTGATCATTATTTAAGTTATTTTAGTACATACTCGGTCCTCCTTTAACCTAACAGTTATTATTATTTTTGAAAGCTGGCTAGTTATATTTGTTTGGCTGTTATGACATACTGAGCTACTCGTAGGAGCAGGTAGAAGGATATAACTGGGAAGAAGATTAAGGAATTTAACTTTATTTTTTGGTGCAAAAAGAGAAGCATTAAAGTTGAAAGAATTGGCAGTTGCTGCCAGGAATTTTGGTTCAAAGAGTTTAAAATTATGACACTTAACTTTTTTATTTTGCTTTGCAATGAGGTTATCATGTCGAAGAACACTGGATTGGATAGTGGTTCTTAGGAGGAATGGAATTAGTCGATTGGGTAACTGAGGCTTGATTATAATAATTTTTTTTGCCTTCATGAAATAAGAGAACATAGTGTGTGCTCTAATGATTTTAGAAGCTTATATTAAAAAGAAAGGGTATTTGAGCAAACTGGGGTTTACTTGTTCAAATTAGAGTCATTTGCTCACATGATACTTTGTTTATTGAATGCATATGTTTATCTCATAAAAATCATTTCGAATGTGCAACTCTGACAGGTATAACACTGGAAGTGGATGCTTCAGGTCCAAAGGGGACACTAGTTGATGTTGGTTTAAGTAAGGTAGGTTCTCATATGATCTAAATCCTGTTTATTTATTTATTTAAATACATTGAAAGGTGTGATCATTTTTGTATATTTTATTCTAGAAGCTTTTACTTAATTGGATTCATTAGTTAACTATTTTTTACCTTTTACGTTCATTCTTTAATCAATCTGTTGTATGGAAGCATGCTTTTCTATGTGCAGCTTGAGGTTTGTTGTTATTAGATCAGTCAATAAGCCAAATCAAATTAACGAAAATCTCAATTTAAGCTCAACTGCTAGCTCAACGGAGTTCCATTTAATGCTTGTTTATTTTTCATGTAAATTGCAAGAAATGATTGGATGTTTCTTTTAGAATTGAGTTCAAGTGTTTGTTTGGTTGAAATTGGATAAAATTGAGTTCTCATTTTTGAAACTCACCTTTAAAAGTTGAGGAATGAGTTTCAATTTTGAGATTAGGATATCACCATAGTTTTTTTTCCTCTCTTTTTATATTTCATATTAAAAAATATTAAATTAATGAAATGATGGGCTAGAATATTATTTTGTATTTGTAATTGTTGAACCCCTTGAGCTTTTAGATGTTATTAATGTTTTGATGATTACAGGCCTTACTGGTTGCAATATTTTTGAGCTAATGAATTTGGGTGTCTTGGCTTTCCAGGCAAGCTAAACATGACAGTTAAATAAGTGTTAAACCAAATGATACAGGACACACTACTTGGAGGGTAATCACATTTGTGAACTTAGGCCAAACAGAAGAAAGAAAGGCATCAATGAAATAAGGAGTGCAAATAAATAAAAAATTTGTGTTTTTCTTGAGTCTTATTGTATATTATAGATATATGATTTTTGAAGCAATTAAGCACACTTACATGAGAGTTAAATTATGAAAAAAAAAGAGTAAATGCTTAAAATAGTCGACCGACTATTAATAAATGCCCAATTTAGTTTCAGAGTTCTGCACTGTCCCTCAACTATTAAAAAATTGTCCAATTTGGTCCCTTGTAAAATTTTATGTTCATAAGAAGTTGCAAGCGTTAGCTTTTTCTATAGGTATTTTAGGGAAAAGACTTCTCCTTTTATTACCCAATCCTTCGCCTTCCTGCTATGATCCCCTAAAAACTGAATGGCGTGAGCGAGAAGACTTGTTGTGACAGACAGAGACCGCGATCATGAGCTGGTATAATTCCACGACAGAAGAAATGTTGTGTTGTTGCCACTGAGACGATGTGCTTCTATTCTCCAAGATTTGATGTGGTACGAGCGAGATGCGAGAGGACGCAAGTGAGGCGGCAGGCTATCGATTCAGTATTATCCCGTGGAGACAAACATTGGGAGGTAATGTACTGCTACGAGCGACCACGATGCACTTTGACATCCAGAGACAGAGACGACGAGCAATGTGCGACATCAACAAGGAGACAGAGACACAATTAATGCTAGGTTTGCTTATCTTCCTAATATCCATGTTCATACGATTTTGATCTTTTTGTTCTTAGGAATTATTTGCTCAACAATATCAAAATAATTTATTACGTCAGGAACTATTTGTTTGCTTTAAAAAATTATTTTTTAAACTAAGTAATCACCCTTATTATTTACTAGATTTACTTTCATTAAGATATTTATATGTATTATAATTTATTAAATGATAAAATAGAGCAACATAAGCAATCTAATCTGACATATAATTGTACTATCTAAAATACCCTCATATTTAACTTTGGAGTTAAATTTAAATCTTATTTTAGGCCATGGGATTAAATTGGATCAATACTTAATAATTGAGGGACTAAAGCGAGGCAATAAAGAACTTTGAGACTATATTAGACATTTACTAATAGTCGAGGAACTAGTTTGAGTTTTTACTCAAAAATATTATCAGTTAATTAAAACCATATGATTAATGATAAATCGTACTGTACAATTTAATTTGCACTATACATTTGCATGCTAATTCTGGTGAATCTAAATAATCGAGTGGTATTAATTGACATATATTTAAAATTAAATTTATAAAATTAATCGTATGGTACGATATGAGTCAAATTATATAATAAGTTTTAATCAAACGAAATAATCGTTATTAGTTATTGACAAATTTCCTTAAATAGGTAAATTTGAAACTCAGTTAATTTTGCTGTATGATAAAATTAACTGAGTTTCAAATTTACCTAATTAAGGCCTGAGAATCCAAGAGAGTAACTAAAATCATATCATGAAAAATATCGTAATATACAAACCATATAGTACAGTTCTGGAATAAATAGAGAGGAGTTCGGTACGATCCTCAATATTACAGACCCATTGAATCTCTTGGAGGCTGCAAATGAGTATAGTCTGACAAACATAGATGACTTTTAGGATTTTGAGAATGAGTATGCTAATCGTACTAAACAATCTAGTTGTCAAATTTAATAAATAATAACGTTTAGATTTGGTATTAACTTATCATAAAAATATTCAAAAGAAATTATTGAGAGATTTTTGCAAAATAGAGGCTGCAAGAGATTTGAAATATTCTTGTGAGAAAAAATTCTTAATGATCTCCATCTTCTTTTTCTTTCAAGTTTACAAAAGCTTTGGAGAGATTCTCTGTGTAAGGTAACACTTTCTAGTTATTCTCAAATCATATTCTTGTGATCCTCTGATTTGAGAGTTCGAATCTCTCAGGTTGAGAGCTTCTTGAGTTTGTGAATGTAGAGATCGGGAAGATCTGAAGGTTTTCTTTTACTTTGTGGATCTAGTCGTGTGGCTAGGGATTGGTGTACTTTTTGAAGAGAAAAGTAGTTTAGGTTTCTTCATTATCCTTGAAGAGAGAACTTGCTGGGAGTAGGACTGATAATGGAATTCCTAAGTAGAGGATTTGGGGTTTGGACATTGGCCAGTAGGTCGGACCACTATAAATTGGATTGTATTTCTTACTCTTTTCTTTTGATTTTTCTTTTCTTTTGTGCATTTTATTTTTATCGCAATAACATTTTAATATGTAGAGATTGTTATTATGAAATGTTAAGATTCTTTTGAAACATTAAAGTTTATTATATAATAATTTGTGTCTATGAAAAAAAAAAGTTTTGATATTTTTAAATCATTTTCTTTAGAATTTTTTTTATTTAGTACAAGAATTAAAGAGGGGATATTTTTACTTGGAATTTTATTTCATAAAAGTTAATATTTTGGCGTGTTTAAACTTCTATACATTTAATCCCAATTTTTTGTGCAAGATTCACCAATTCACCCTCCCTCTTACGTTTGCCAAAGAGTACAACAATAATAATATTAAAATAATGAAAGATTAATACAAAAGGAGTTGAAAATAAGACTCACTACAATGTTGACAAACATATGAACCAGGTTCATAGGAAGTGAGTACCTACAGAACAAACAATATGCCAATTCATCTCACTTCAATGCAACTTGCTTCTAGAGCTAAGATCTGTATTCTTTCCAATATTAGCAACTAAGCAAAATGACCCAATGACCTAAGCTTAAAAGCTCAAGCTTAAGCTTGGTTAATTCCTACCTTTAGTGAGCTTGAACAAATACTTTAGCTGCGTCAAAATCAAATATAACAAACTAATAGGTTCTCCATATCTTAAGAAGGTCATGAGGGTAATGGAATTCATGTTTGGGCAAATGAAGCTGAAGCAATTTGACGTGCTAGAAACTCTCCATTCTTTCTCAGTTGATTAACTCTAATGTGATGAATTATGAATATACCATCAAAATTTTGCAACCCTAGTCTTTATATGACCTTTTTATTTTTTTGAGGATGGTCATCTCCTTTTTTATGGATGAGTTGCTTGGGCCATGTTAGGCTGAGTAGTTGTGCTGGATCTTATTTCTTGTCGGGTTGTTGGGGTAGGACTGGTCCTTGCAATCTTAGTTGTTTGATAATTGGGGTGGTTAGTCTTCTTGGTATGTAATTTCTTCTTTTAATTTAGCTTGGTGTTTATAAACGATAAGATATAAATTTAATCTTATCCTGGAGGACAAATCTCTAAAAATTTCTTATTGAAAAGGATCAAATAAAAGTTTAGTGTGGTGGCAATTGTGCTTTAAGGGCTTTTAATCCCTTCAGAGAAATAAATTCTTTGAGACCATTGTTATCAAAGGTGTTTTGGCTGCTCGTCTAGCTATGATGCACTGATACAAAATGACACGACACCGACACGGGACGACTTTTTTTGAAAATATAGGGCACGGGTACGACGCGGACAGCGCATTAATTTTTTTTATAGTGTATAGATATTAATGTAACATCATATTAAAAATGACAAATAATAATAAATGAATGACATGATAACTTTTCTAGCTTATAATATAAAATATTAGTACAAAATGTCTAGTACAACCATAAAAATATAAGCAAATAATCACTTGCTACAACATCAAGCATTCAAGCTTCAACTACTAGGATTAGCTTCAGAGGCTTGTTTTTGGTCTTAGATATCATCATCATTGAATATCATTGCTTTCAACTCTGGTTCATCAAGAGAAAGATTTACAGTAGTTTGTTGGATATCATATAATGAAAGTTAGTTCTTCTTTGTATATATTTACTTCTCTAGCTCGCTAGTTCTCTTCCATAATATTTCTTTATCCTCTAATCTAAATCACAAAGAATGCATCTATTTACTTCTTTAGCTCTCTCTCATAATAATTCATTGGATATCATATTATTTTTAATTAAAATAATTTTATCATAAAAAATTAGGACACATATCCTAGCCGTGTTCGAAACGTGTCATAGCCGTGTCGGGTTAAATTTAAATATTATTATAATCAGACACGTGTCTGCCGTGTCCGACACTGTTATCTCTCTTCAAGAGGTGTGTCGGTGCATCATAGTCGTCTAGTTGCTTAGGTGATACAACGTTCATGCTTATCCCAAGTGGACGCTGTTGTTAAGGAATTACTTGAGTGAGCACTAGGTGATGAGGCATTCACTATTTCAGAAAAAATATTTTTTAATTTTAAAATATTCAGATTCATATTATTTAAATGGAATC